CCTGAAACCCAGAGAATTTTGGAGAATTTATTAGTAGCAGATAAACTGGTAAAGTCTGCATAGTATTGAGGAGTAGCCTTATCTGATTCCATATAAATGCTGACAAAACTAAATCTTTTTAGTTTGTAAGTGCCTTTTCAAATTCCACAGATTGACTAAATTACCTCCTTCCTATGGAAGATGCCAGCAGCAAGGGATGCTGATGCATTTGTTTTCCTGAACACCTCCGAGAAGTGCTCAACAGCACCAGCACCACTACTTGCAATAACAGGGATGCTGACAGCATCTGAGATCAACTTTATCAAATCTAGATCATATCCCTTGCCTTGGCCTGCAAAAAGGCAGAATTTAAGCAATGTAAGCATTAAAAAAAAACACACTAATCTAGAAATGAACCAAATACATATCAACTGACAGCACAGGACAGGTTAAAATGCAATTAAATGATTCTTGCCTCAAAAATCAGGACAGGAATTTCTCAATTACAATTAAGCATTCACTTAATGGAATTAACTAAAGACCAAGGTAGATTGTTTTTCCCAAATGGGGAGCAAGAAAAAGAAGAAATGAAAATCATCTATGAGTTACTTGTTTTGCAGTCTAGTAAAAACAAGTCTAGCACTGTCCAGACTGCAAAACAAGGACTATTGGATGGCAGGACAGCCCCCAATAACCCCCAATAGTATTGGGGGCCATCCCCCCATTGAATGGTTTAAATTGTGCAGTCTGGACTGCAAAACACATTTTTGATCATCAATACCATCACAGTCAATGCAGTTAAGTAGTATTTCTCCTGCTCCTAGCTCTTCAACTGCTTTTGCAAGCTCATAAGCTCCAATTGGTCGACCTTCTCGTCCACCATTAACCTTAGGAAATATAAAAAAAAAGCCATTTCAGATGCAGAAAGATAAGACTTTCAAAATAAAACCAACAAAGAAACCATGCAGAACTAAAAATAAAAAATTATTAGCAAAACCAAGACAGACATGAACAGTTGCCTAAAAACAAAAATATAGTGGTTTTTGCCTCATGAAATTTCAGAGGTGATACAGAATAAAAATTTGCTAGATTAAGCAATTTTCAGTTGATCTCAAGACCAATTTGAAAGTTTTTGCAACACTCAGTTTTCCTATTAGATTGGTAAACTTTTTCAGTTAGTTGAAGAGAGTAAAAGTGGCCTACCGTACACTGATACCAAGCATATTCTTCTCCTTTTGGACCTGTCACAAAGACAAAAGAAAGGAAGAAGATTAACAATCCTGGTGAATCTTGAAACAAGTAAAATCTCTTAGCATGTAGTTCATTAAATGGCTTCCTCAAGGTTTCATTTGCTCAATGACTAAAAATCCAGAGCACATTTGGAAGAGATGACTGAAGGCACAAGTAGTTAAAAGCTTTAACTTATACCAAAAAAAAGAAGGAAAAATGCATATTCTAGTAAAAGTGGCTGAGGAAAGAAATTTTATAAGTCATAAGTAAAAGTTCATATTAATTTGAGTTAAATCTGTATGTTACAGAATTTGTTAATCTTGTACCTGGATTTGTTACCCTTATAGCCTTGAATTCCACATCATTGGGACTATTGATGTACACTCTACGAGGATCTATGCTGACAACCACTGCCTGCCACATATATCCAATAAACTCATTACAAGGACAACAAATTTCATGCTATCTTACAAAATTGTCACTATTAAGCATGTTCCACAATTAAAAAGAAGCAGAGACCAAATGGACCTTCAGAATGTGTTTATGACACTATGGAAAACATAGAAACAATTGTACCAGCATGTAAATTAGAAAAAATGCTCTACCAATCTCATCAAACAAAAAATTGCCAGCATATGATTAACACTTCTATCAGCAATTTACTATGCTTACAAGAAAGAAAAATTTTCTGTTTCTATCTGGAATTTGAGAATCATGGCATGAAAAATACACTTTAGTTTTCAAGAAAGCAAAAAGAAAGAGTAAAAATAAGAAACTGATCAAAAAGTTACATGAGGAAAATACTCTCAGAAGACAGATAGGTAATGAAAATAAATAAGTGAATTGGGGGATAAACAATCAACACAGGGAATTACCTGGTTTCCATAAACTCTAGAAATCTGTTCTAAGCTGCTCTTTCCAGTCTTTACCTAAAGAAGTATTCAGAGAACAATTAATAAAGGGACACAAGCATACATTAGACTTTTCAAACTTGCAAGTTGAAGGTATTAATCAGGTGAAGTCCTGCATACTCCAGTTTTCAAGTATTCTTCAGCAGCATAAACGGCATCGCTTCCAATGGAAATTTTATCAGCCCCAGATCTGAAATATTCTGAAGCAACTTCCAAACTTGAATAGTACCTAAGAAAAAAAAAGAAAGAAGAAAAACCTACTTCTGTATGATAGTTCCCAAGTGTAACTGCAATTGCTTGCATAGGAATTGCTAATGAAAAGCAGAATTAGGGTATGCCTAATAAATCCAGTTCCATCACTTGCAAGGAGATTGAGAATTTGAATAAATGTAAGTTCACAATACATCAAGTAGAGTGTACCTTCCATTAGCATCTGTAAAATCTCTAATTCCACCTCCAACTGTTAGCGGTACAAAAACATTTTCTGAAGTGTATCTTAGTACCTGCAAAATGGAAGCAAGTAATATGAATTGAAGAATATGATGTACAAATAAAGAGAAGCAAATAGCTCTTTAATAACAAAATATCCATCAAAGTTTGTTTTAATTGCCATGTTAATAACCTTTAACATAGGCAGATCACCTAATGGGAAGTCCCTGAAACCAGTAATATTCAAAAAGCTGACCTGAAACCCATGATTTAATTAGAATTTAGATGATATATAACTGCTTATAACACAATATAAACACCAGTGCATGTCTTATTCTGGCTAATGAAACATCAGTTGTTAAAATCAGGAAAGATTACCTCATCAGCCCCATCTTTGTAATATTGACCAGCAAGCTCTACTGGCTTGCCAAGGTTTCTGACCTATAAAAGTTTGTGATTTGAAAAATCATAATCAAACACAGATGTCTTTACCTAGAGGAATTATAACATAGAAATGACTGAAAAAACATAAAAGGAACCTTGTATCCTTCCTTCCACAAATCAAAAAATCATCATAACAAATCATATAACATGGAAGACATAGACACTCTTTTCTTTAGTATACCTCATTCTCTTTTGTATGCTCTCTTACATCATATTGATCACCTTTGGTCACCACAAGATCCCCCTTATCATTTGTCCTCACATCAAGACAAGCAATCACCTGCAAGGAAATAGTAACACTTAGAATAGAACCCTCTAAATCCACAAATCACAGATAACAGAGCAAAGTACCTGCTTAATGCTACGTAAGGAAGTAGAAGGAATATGAAAGGCATGGAAAAATTACAAAATTAAAGTAAATAATAAATATGAAAAACAAAACATTCAAGGATAAGAAACTATTACCCTCTTAGCCAGTGTTGAAGCCTTCCCCTGAGTAGGCTTCTGTCTTCGCATGAACCATACAAGTAATTAGATGGATAGACAACAAGATTCCTAAAGATGAGTTGGACATAAATAACAGATACAAAACCTACCTTTGTGACATGTGACTTTGGATAGAGGAATCTTCTTAAAACAGAAAGACCAACATCTGAAACATACTCAAATCAATAAACAGATGAGCCTCCTTATCAACTTCTTTAAAGTAATTTCTGATTCATATTGCAAGCCTAATAAGAATCATTTAGAAAACACTTTACAGATTCCCTCACAGTATCAAGAAGGGGTTTACTATTTTCTCAAGAGCAAAGAAAAACTATAGGGCAAACATAGAGATGAATTTTGTTCCTTAAATACATCATATGCCTGAGCAAGCTTCATTTCAAAATTTTGGACAATCATGTCAAAACAATGAAAGATAACTATTGGCAATAAGATATATCTTGCCTCCACTCTTCTCAGGATGGAACTGAACGGCATGCACATTTCCTCTTCTGATGGATGCTATAAACTTGTCACCATAATTGCAAGTTGATGAAACCCATTCTTTGTTATCATTTGACTACCAAAAATGTAAAAGGATTTGGGTTACCAAACTGCAAACAGTCCCAAAATATGTATATTGAAAGCTTCCAAGAATGCATTAAAGAAGCAAAAGGTGATAAACTAGGATGGTGATTGTAAGGAGCATACTGGCATGGCACGGTAAGAGTGAACAAAGTACACATGGTGATTTCCAATATCATCCAAAATGTCAGAGTCTTTATACACTTGCAAAGCATTCCACCCAATATGGGGTACTCTGAAACCATTTGAAGAATCAAAACGCCCGACCCCACCCGGTATCAAGCCCAGACCATTAACTGAAACAAACACACGGTTAATTACAGTTCCAAGAAATTAAAGAAAAAAAAAAAAACTTACGGTAGGCAGAAGAAAAATTTCAAGAATATCTGTGTCCAAAAATGGAAAATATGCTATAAATTATAATCTAGTTTCTGTTTCTCTCTTCACCCTCTAACCTATGATCAGCCACGAATCATTAAGACCTTATGAAACCTACAGCTCAAAATTTTCATAAAAAAGGGCGTAAATATAGAAAAATAAACATAATAGATAACTTTCTAAAAATTATGTTTAGATAAAGAAACTAATTCAAATACAAACCTGGTCCATTCTCTTCACTTGACTCAAAAAGTAATTGAAGTCCAAGACAAATGCCTAAAAATGGGCGATCATTCTCAATATAGGCACAAAGTGCTTCAGCCATCCTGCAAAGAGAAATAAAATGAAAACCTTCAAACAGATCATGAACTAAACAGTTAAGGCCACAATAAAAAAATCCAAAATGGATCAATCTCACTAAAAAAAACTGATAAAATACAGGCATTAATGCTGTGTTCCTGTACCATTTGAAATAACTGAATCAAATAACACAACTGAAGAAAACATCATTCATACTTTTGAAGTTGATGTAACATCACTTCAACCCGCCAATCAGAAGCTAATTTGAATAAGTCAAATGATATTAAAAAAAAAAAAAACTATATAAAACACGCACCCAGTCTTGTTCAGAACATCCATAGCTGCAGCAAATGCCCCAACGCCAGGAAATATAAGGCGATTTGCATTTAAAATATCTTCTGGACTTTGCACCTACATTTTTAAACTTTGAAATCAATATAGAGTTCACTAAACACTCCTTCCATGAAGAAACTGAAAAATAAGAGAAATTGATAGCAAACAATTTAAAAACCGATGCTTATTACATCAAAGAATGCAATCTTTCATCAACCTTTCAAGGAAGAAATCAAAGTTTTCATTTTCGAAACATCTTTCACTAAAAAAATGAAAGAAGAGAAGTAGCTTACATCTTTGATGTCGAAACCGAGATGGCGAATAGCATTCCTCACACTACGAACATTTCCAGCTCCATAATCAAGCAAAGTCACAACTAAACACCAAACAGAAAAGGCTA